GATTCCGCTCCTAGTTTGGAGAGTGTTACAGGTACACTTTCTCATCGGCACAGTATTGGTATCAGAAGAGAGGGGAATAATAATTAATAATCATTAGTATGAGAATATTTGCTGGTGTTGTACTCGAGACCGGTCTCCAGACCACTTTTTAACGCTATTGGTCTCGGAATCGACTGCATTTGGTTTCGTATTGTCTCTGTATCAGACCTATAGGACTCGAGATTTTATGTCAAGACCGGTTAAGACCACGGCTGTGGCTGGGGATGTGATGAGGATCGGGAACCGAAATCCGGTTCCGATTTGGAACAAATAACAATTATCCGGTACGGGGATTAATAAGAGTTGTGTCTAGGCAGCTCTCTCTCTCTCTCTCTCTCTCTCTCTCTCTCTCTCTCTCTCTCTCTCTCTCTCTCTCTCTCTCTCTCTCTCTCTCTCTCTCTCTCTCTCTCTCTCTCTCTCTGCTCGGGAACAGCTGATTGCTGCATGGCGATCAGCTGTCCCTCCCTTCCTCAAGGTGTGTGTGTCTCATTCACTGTCCCTCAGGTTGTAGCATGTTTCGATTGCCAGTTTGTGGCTTGTATGTCTTGTGAACGCAGCGCTGGCATGATGTGGCCTGCTGACATGGCCTCTAATAAACACACAGGACTAAAATAATACGTCTTTAATTCAGCCCAGATGCGGTGACTGCAGGCCAAATCAATTAATGCGGCATATATTGAAGGTGTTCAAAGTTGCACCGGTATGAGGCGCAGTGAGAACCACGCACCTGTCAGACCAGACCTTTATATACAGTCTATGTGTCAGACCAGACCTTTATACAGTCTATAGCAGGGGTAGCCAACACGGTGCCCGCGGGCACTTGGTCGCCCGCAGAGGCAACGTGAGTCGCCCGCGGGGCATGTTCTAAAAATAGCTCGCCAAGCAAATCCAAAATGTATAAAATACACAAAACAAAAAAGGAAATGTAATTAAAAGAATCTACCCTATGCATAAACGAAACCTAAATCATAGCGAACTCTATCTACTTACTACAACTCTATATCTATCTAACACCCCTCCTCCCCCCACCCCCAAAATTAATATCTACCAATCACGTTCTTGCTTGATTTGCGGGACCAGCGTTGCAGTCTGGAAGAAAAGCAATGTGGCACCTCCCCGCTGATTTTCCTTCTGGCAGAATCTACACAACACATCAGCCCCATTGAACAGCCTATCATGCAGCCTATACAACACATGGGGGGCAGAGTTTTACTCTGTGTGTTGCAACTTGCATATCTTTATTGCACTTGACGCACACACACGCATGGCGTAATTTCCACCTGGGACAGGGGGAAATGTCCCCCCCACTTTTCGAAATCCCGTTTGTGTCCCCCCACTTTAAAAATATGTTTTTTATTTTTTTTTAACGCAAGCCTTCGATCGCCACGGAGGAGCTCACAGCCTCTGTTACCCCTTTCACACCGGCGCTTTTCCAGCTCCTGCTGGGAGCTAGAGCCTGAAAAGCGCCGTTTTTTCCTGTTCACACCGCAGCGGCGGCGCGTCATAGCTCCAGAAAGCGGTTCACTTCCAGCTCCAAAAAATTGTCGGTCCAGAGGCAAGAGCTTCGGAGCTATGACGCGGCGTCGCTTACGTCGAGGCGTGCAGGAAACCTTACTTTGACCATCCGTTCGCTGTTATTGATCATTGTGGAGATACATGGGCTATACAGGTTGTCATGTCCGACTATCAGAAGTAGAATCATAATGAAAAATACGCCGGTAAAATGTGCCTATAGAAAACGGCTTAGCAAGTAGTCAGTTTAGCTTCGGTTGCTATGCTAACATCACCCATGTTATACCAGAGAAACTTTCATAACAGCGTTGTGATGCCAAACAGCGTCAATTCAGACTGACACACATTCACTTAAGGGGAACTGGGGATATGTATCAGCTGCTTGTGTGACAGTCAGACAGTGAATACTTTAGAGCCGTGTGAGCTAACCCGGAGCTAACGGGAGAATAAACTCCCGTGGAAGTGCAGCCACTGCAGCGGTCGGTAAATGCCGCTGAAACACATTAATAAACAATGAACCACGGCACTCTGGAGAAAAGTATAAGGTTGGAGAAGTCGTTATTTAATTTAATCTGGCTTCGTATGATTAAAAGCAACACGACCCGATGCAGTCCCCGGCCCGTTGTTGTTGTGGGAGAAAATCAGCGACGTAAACTGTGACGTCATGACGCAGCAGCGGCAGCTCTCGGCAGTGTGAACAGAGCGGGAGCTGAAAAGGGAAACGGGAGCTGAACCAGAAAAGCTCTCGCGAGGAGCTAGAAAGTGAAAAGCGCCGGTGTGAAAGCCGCATGTGAGCGAGCGAGACAGAGCGAGCGAGAGAGCTAGGGAGGGAGGGAGGGAGAGAGAGGGAGAGAGAGAGAGCTAGGGAGAGCATACCTTTATCTATTTAATATAGATAAAGTAAGAAATCATTCCAATGTGTACTATAGGACAGTAAAAAAAATCAAAACACAGTTTGAAAGGGGAGTGATTAGTAAAATAAGCATACATAAAAAGAAAAAATGCTAACTAGGTAACATAAGATAAGAATAAACCAGTTTAAATGATTTGTTATTGGTTGTGATCATATTCTAAAGATGTTTGGATTATTGAAAAGTCTACAGCTCTCTTTCATCTGAGTGTTGAGAGCTGTTTCCATCAATTCATGTTGTGCTCAAAGTGCTCCAGATTGATGCATTTCACTTCAACATTAAAAAATAATCTTCCTGGGGGTGCATGCCCCCCGACCCCCCTAGAGGAGGTGAGGATCCCCCTGGAGGAGGTGAGGCCCGTCCACCCCCAAATAAAGCAGGTTAAAATAATTAGATTGCATACATGTTCTTTTAGTAAACACTGCAAACGGGTCCCACAGACCCAAACAGCAAACAAAGGTTAAAGGTCAGCATATCATAATGTTAAAATGTGCTAAATATATACACCGCAAAAAAAGAAAAGAAAAGTAAAAGTAGCCCCCGACTTGTTTTATTTTTTTAAAGTAGCCCTCACCCTAAAAAAGGTTGGTGACCCCTGGTCTATAGCCTCGTCTCAATACCCCTCCTCGACTCCTCTCTTCCCCTCCTCCGGGACTTGACCTGGAAATCGATCAAGACACGCCATGTTGAAGGACGTCCCAATAGCTGAAATGCACACGGAGGAGTCGAGGAGGGGTGAGGGAGGAGGGGTGCGGGAGGAGACGAAAGGGAGGATACACGAGAGCAGACTACGCGGAAGTGTTTTCACTACTCGCGTATCAAAGCCCCGCCCCCACCTTCACAGCTGGTCGATTTCAAGAGAGGAAAACGGAGAACTGGAAGATGAGTGGGAAAGCGTCACATAAATGTATAAGTGCTCACAGCTCCGTGGGAATTATTATGTGCAATTCATTTCTTAAGGTTATACTAACAATTGAAGTCATATTTAATGATCTTGAACGTCACTAAAACATAGCTATTAAGAAAGCTATTTCATAAATGGCTAGATCTTGATAAATAACAATTATTTGTTTTGTTTTGTGTTAAGATGTTCAGGAGTTAAATGATTTAAAATGCACAGTCCTGAATGTGTGTTTGTGGTGAATGTGGGGATCTACAGGACACACATGTTCAGAGTAAAGGCTTTCACATTATTATCATTATAATTTTATTGAAATGTACATTTTACACCAAAACGGAACACAAAAGCAGGACCAACCATCATACATTGAATTCCTTGACTAACAAGAGAAAGATTCATTCATTTAAATAACTATTTAACAACAAATGGGCCGGTTCTAAAGGTTCTAAAGGTTCTAAAGGTTCTAAAGGTTATTCAGTTAAGCCCAATGAGAGGGGATACAGCTGTGCACATGTCATCATTAACAGACGTCGTTTAAAAGTGACGTTTGAGTGAACGAGGACATCCCAATTAATACCTGAGGACTCCTCTCTCCTCGCGTCACCTCCTCGTGTCTCTCGCTCGCATCTTACGGAGGCGGAGCTAAGACGCAAGGAAGGGATGCGAGTGAGGGAAAGGAGGAGTCGAGGAGGGGTATTGAGATGAGGCTTATGTGCAGTGGCGGCTGGTGGTCTTTTATTTTGGTGGGGCTCTTGACGTACCGGAAGTGACCTACCGGAAGTGACCTACCGGGGGGGTCCGAACATTTTCGAGAAATGACCCCTTAAATGATGACTTCTGGTGATGTTAGAGGGGGGGGGAAGGAGAAATCGAGGCTTAAAAATATGAGAAGACTGATCAATACCTCCATAATCTTCAGTGTGGAAAATATTATTTATCAACCTGAACATCTACTACTTTACCAGGAATTTGTGTTCTCAGAACTGGTCTGTTTTTTTCTTTCTTAAAACTGTTCATGTTTTATGAACCAACACCTCCACCAAGTGGCTTTACAGTGAACTGCATGTGGGATATAAAATTAATAGCATATTTTCAATAGCATTAATTATAAATATTTAAGTGGTTCAATACAAGTCACTACAGCATTTCAAACTGAACTGTGAATAAATGCAATTTAAAAAAAATAACCACAGCACAAAATGTCATAAATTGTGTTTTTTCTTTGTTTCTCTGAGGATTATTTACAAACAGGCTTATTTACATATAGCAATAACTCAGAAATGAAAAAGCTACATCGTCTAACACGAACAACCAGTTAGCATAATGATAATATATGTGTTATGTACAATGTAACTGGCAAGGCTAGAGCAAGAAAGAACATAAAGTTTGCAAAAGGTTTAAATAACTTCAAGTATCTGTCTTCAGATTACGTGGAGGTTTTAGTCCGATGGGAAGCAGATTTTAAGCGACACCGAAGATAAACCAAAGATGTGGTGGAGCTGCAAACCGTGTAGTGTTGCTGGGACAGGAGCTATAACCGTTGGAAAATACATCACAGACAATGCAACAAACGTGGAGACAGAACAATCACTTCTGTGATAAATGCCCACTTATTAATAAACTTCTAACACAACCATGGGAAACCTACTCTCTACATATAAAGTGATATCCAGCTTATTGGCCTATAGCACCTTTTTTACTGCTTTGAATAACAAAATGTGCAACAGGCAGAAAAAAGACAAAAGGAAACAAGAAACAACTGTTCCTCTGGGGAAAATGAGTCGAACGCAACAGGTTTCCAAACAGTACTCATGTTCCTGGACTTTGTGGTTGAACAAAACATCTTAGGTATCCAAAAGTAACTTCACAACATTCTGCATTAATTATGCATTAACATTAATTGTCTCTCTAATGAAACGCATTTTTTTAAGGGTCGGCCATCTGTGTTTGCTGCGAGAGCTTGTGTGTATGTGTGTGTGTGTGTGTGTGTCTATTTGTAGAGGAATTTTGCCCTTCTCTCCTTCTGAGTGGCAAACCTCTCAATGACTCTGGTGTTGAAGTCAGGAATGCTCCTAATGAGTTTTTTCTCAATTGACAGCATAGCCAGAGCATTCAGGCGATCCTGTGTCATGCTGTTCCTCAAGAAAGTCTTTATCCTTTTCAGAGTGGAAAAGCACCTCTCTGCCTCAGCCGTAGCCATGGGTGTGGTTACAAGAACCTTCAGAAGACTGACAGTCTCTGTGAATGTCTCCTGCAGATTATTGTCAAGGAAGAACTGGAGCAGAGTAACTGCACCACTGCAAGCCCTGAACTGGTCATTGTCTTAGACGAGGGACAGTTCCGTCTTGAGCTTTGCCTTGTCCAGTAGAGGGTAGGCCTCCACAGTTGTTTCCAGCGCTGCTTCAGGGAATGTTCGGCTGTGCTGCTGGAACAGGTCTCCTTGCAGGAGGGTGGAGCTGATGAGGTGTTTGGTGAAGGAAAATCTCTCCTTTGCGTGACTCAGTATGGTATCACATACCTATGAAATAATGCACAATGAAAAAATCAAGACATAATAAATAACAGAATCACCTTTTCACATCTATCAGTCATGATGTCATTAGTGTCCCCTATAACATGTGTAACAAACAAAGAGCTTTCTTGTGAATGGAACCTATCAGAATAACAGGACATCTATCTGAGCATCAACAGAACAATATTACTGTTTAAAATTAAGTCACTACAATATATACATTTAATGACTATGTTTACACTTCATTCATTTATTGTTGGGCCCTTTCTGTCCACTGTGGTTGCTTCTGGAAGCCTAAACCTTTTCTGATCTGTCTTGATCCCCTTTGAAATGTAGAGACTGTGGGACACTTTTTGCAGTTTAGGCCTTGTTAAGTGTATACAATTCAGAATGTAATAAGCAATAGGCCTTTCCATGTAGATATTTTAACTAGCCTACCTATTTATTTAATTTACAGAAAATGGGCTTTCTTGTGAAATGTATCATTATTGTGATATGAAATGACCTATATTATGAAAGGAGCTTTTAGTCATAGAACACGTTCCTATTACTGCTTACCTCTCTAGCCAACAGCTGTTGCTCTTCATGTCCAAGTCCCCTCCGTTTCTTTGTGGGCAGCTGCTGAGATCCACTGCTTTCACCAGAAGGAATGGAGTCCCTGATCCAAACCACAAGTAACCATGTACAATTACTCATTGTGGCAAGAATTGACAAATTAACTTGACTATTTGAAATAGTAGTCAGAGATACACCTTATAAACGTTATATAATATATACATTTCCAGTAAGCCTGTTTAAGATATTTAAACAAGTATGTGTGAGTTGGTCTATTGTGTTCAGCTAAATCACATTTAGGTTTCACAGATTTCCTATAATAAGCACATCTCAGCCATTGTAAATAATGATTTACCTGATTGTTTGTATGCTGCTGGTGAACCTCTTGATGAGTCCTGTGATGTAGACAGAGTCGATGTTCCTCTTCTGCAGTTGGCTAAACAGCATGTCTACATGTGGCATGATCTTGTGGAACAATGTCAGGAAAAAGCAAAAAACTTCATCTTCCATCATTCGCACAAAGCCCCCGGCTTCTCTCACTGTTATGGGATCAAAGTCACCTGAGTCTCTGATCGTCTGGAAACACCTCAGGATGTTCTCCTTGTGCTCATATACAGTGTTAACAGCACGACTGTGAAAGTTCCATCTTGTTGTGGAAGTGCCAGGAAGTCTGTGTGCCACCACTTGATCCAGGATCGCAGTTCGCTTGAATGACCTGGAGAAAAAATGCAGCAAATCCACCAAGGTCTGAAAAAAATGTTCTTATCTTGGGGATGTGGGATGTTGCCTGCTGCATAATTAGGTTCAGCTGATGCGCATAGCAGTGGATGTAGTGCGCACTACTGTACACATCCTTCACTTTCCGCTGAACTCCACCTTTAGCTCCCCTCATCACCGCTGCACCGTCATAGGCTTGGGCGATTAGTTTGCCCTGTTGTCCATCGGGGAGGATAGTGCCCAGCCTCTCCATCAGCGCGGTGGCAACTGTGTCAGCATTCGCATTCTGAAGAGGAATGAACTCAAAAAAACGCTCCTGGACGTTGTTATGCGGGTCGATGTAGCGTAGCACAAGCACTAACTGGCAGTGGGTGGAAATGTCAGTTGTCTCATCCGCCTGAATAGCTAAATAACTGGCATTTTTTACTTCCTCCAGAATGTAGTCTTTACAAACTGATAACATGCAGTCCAAAAGTTCATTTTGCACCGTCTTTGAGGTGCCTTTGAAAACCGTAGCCGTTTTAAGGTGATCCTCCAACACGCTATCTAACGAGGCCAGTAGATTAACTAAACCCAGAAAAACGCCGGGGTTGTCGGATGTGTCAGCCTCGTCGTGGCCACGCAAAGCCAGGTCAAAGCCCCCACAAAATTTCACACAATCAATTATTTTAGACAAGACGTGCCTATTCTTGTCCACTTCTTCATTGTGCTTTTTCACCGAGATCTTGTACCCTTGATCTAGCTGTGCGGCTATGTTAGCTTTGCCTAGCATGGCTAGCTTAAAGGTGTTTGTCATGTGTGCCTTAGTGCACTCGTGCTTTTTAATTTTGTTGGACAAATGCTTCATATCGTTTACTCCTATCACAGTCCACGGGCACATTGTATCTGTCCCCGGCTGTTTGAAGAGCAAGCATGGGAAACAAAAGACAGCATTTACCTGTTTGCATCCAGCTAGCCAAGCCTTTCTTGTGTACCAGCTACTTGTGAAGCCTCGTGTATACATTTTGTCTTTTTCACGAGATTGCTGCGATATATTCAAATCGGGTTGGTCCGGTCCAAGGTCTTTAAGCAACAATTTATCTGCCAAACTTCTCCTTTCGAAAGGATTGGAGATTAGCTCTTGAACAGAATTAGGCGGGGACCGAGGTCCGGAGACTCCACCTGCACACGAAGCCATCCTCATCAACTACTGCGTCAACCGGATACGAGTCACTGTCCAAACTACTCACAGACTGCACTGGGCGCTGACATTGGCGCCCGGTGACCGTCATCTTTGACGACGCTGATTGGCTGAAATTATATTTTCGCGGCATAGTTTACATGTTACAGATAGCAACAGTCAGCTGCTAGTGGCTGCTGCTGCACTGGTTGAAGGCTCCTCTCTTAGATTATACATTTTACTGATACCAATTATATAATATTTACCTTGTTCATTAAAAATAAAAATAAATTTTTTTTTTTTTTTTTAAACATATATATATATATTTTTTTTTTTTTTTTTTTTTTTTTTTTTTTTTTCAATATGGGAAGAGGTGGGGCGGCGCCCCTAGCGCCCCTATGGACCGGCCGCCACTGCTTATGTGTCAGACTAGCGAATGGGCACATTTACATTCCAGGAGAATAATGAAGATGTGATTGGTTGTTCCACTCTCCGTTTCTCACGAGACCAGCGCGCTGCTGTTTACATTAGTGTGGACTGGACCGACTGAAACTGACGGCAAGGTTCATTATTGTGGAAGGATGGACCCCCATCCTGCAGCAAAAGGCAGTGAAATGTGCTAAAATCACTGATTTATTCAGAACCCCCTATGGTATAGAGAATGACGAAGCAGAAAGTAAGTGAGCGAACATTATGAGCCACATTTCTTTCTATATTGTAGCCTGATGTGCACATCGACTGTCAACAAAACTGTTTCTCAGTCCAATGCTAAGTTAGTGGCAGGCCCTGTGTGACTGGAGACTATAAGGCTACACAAAACCCAAACATGTCCTTAATGTTACTCAAGGCAAATATATGTAATATAACCGTTAGACTGCAGCTAACTGTGGGGCGACAAACCCCTCATACTGTGAGTGAATCACTTGAGATGGTTATGTTGTCTAAAGGGGAGACAATCATTATGGTATTAGGCCATGCACATACAGGGTCAACTAAGTGATCAAATAAGTGTTGCATAATATATGTTCTTGAATAATGTTATTTCATAAATAGTTGTTAATGTAATGATTACATGTTCTCCTTATTCAGTTCCACTATCAGATGATGCTGATGGTGATGACCCTGAGGGAGAGATGCAGAGCTCAGTGGACAGAACTGGCAGGTACAGAGGAAACTGTTTTCAATAGGCTATGTCTATGAAAACACTGAACAAAGGAAATGTAATGACAACAGTATAAGCAAGCTATGTTCATGTTCTCTCAATAAGTTACTATAGTTATTGATCACAGTTTAATCCATTTGAGGTCCACCCCCAAATAAAACATGTTCACATGGAAAGGTTCCCAAATACATATGTACACTTTTTTTAACAATATCCTATGTCCATATGTTTCTATTTAAGTAGTAGATTCAAACTGTAGGGCTATCACTACGGGCAGCAACGTTGTAAATATTGATGATACATCCAGCAAAACGCCCCCAAACTAAACTAGCAGTGGCCTGGCTGGGTGTATGATTCCTGACCTGACCTATGGTCCCAGTCCGGCCCTGCTGACACATCACACACCCGTACGCTACACACATTACTGATTAACTGATATCACAATTGAGTTACTCTCTTTAAATAAATATACTGTAATTGGAAAATAATCATGTGTGGTGTCCTTGTGTTGTCCGTCCTTGAGCCAGGGCTCCCTATTGTTGTATGTAGGTTATTCTTGGTTTTAGAATGAATTCAGTAATGGTGTGTGTGTAACACAAACATAATAAATCATTGGATAGTGTTTTTATATAATAGAAATAAAGTAATGTTATTATTATTATTATTATTATTTCAGTTATTACTTTCTTCCTTTACTTGGCATTCTTCAAAAATACACAGACATTGCAGCACACGGCATGGTAGGTGATTATGAGGTGTGATTTGTGCCAAAGAGCGAACTCACTGAGCAGACAATCGTGTCGATCGTCGCCTACCATGCCGTGAGAGAAGTAACGTGACACTCTCGTCGCCACCCCGCTCGTCTGAGAAGCTACGTGACGTCTGCGTCTGAAGTTACTTTACTTAGTTATCACCAAATAACCCAGTAATGTTACAGCTACTTAATTGCTGTTCAAGCTAGAATCTATTTCAATATAGTTTTGGTATTAAAATAATGTTACACCTCTTGTATGCCCTGAATGCAAAAAACAACCACAGACAAGAATATATATTTTTAATTATCAAAATGATAACAAAGGCTGAAAAAACAGGAGAAGCCTGTCTTCCCTTGGTCTCCAGGAGAAAACTGTATATCACCAAGTTTTCATATAGTTTTGTGTGTGAAATAGATCGCTGCAGTGAACACGACTTTATGTATTTGTTTATGGTTTATTTGATACAGTATACATAGAAGTTCAGAGAAGAGGCAACCGCTATATATTGTTTATTTTATTTCATTTTGGCACCATGGCAGAGGCAAATATAGAGTTAATGTGCAGAGATTATAATGTCCCGTTTACTAAAATATGTAGGCTATTGTTTTATGATGTTGAGTTGACAAAATAGTCACTGTGCTACATTTTGCTGCACTCAAGCATACGTCTGAAGACAAGAGTTGTGTCCCCCTTTGGCCACAAGGGGGAGTATATATATATTGTATATATATTTTGTATAGATGTTGCAACTATACAGAGCTTTGGCAATACTATATGTAACTGAAGTCATGCTAATAAAGCTATTGAATTGAGTATACCTTTAGTGAGCTGTCAGGAGGAAACAAAGGTTCACCAACACATTGCACTTTAATGCTGAGAAAGTACAAAGACGTGAAACGATGTGCTGCAATGTCTGTGTATTTTTGAAGAATGCCAAGTAAAGGAAGAAAGTAATAACTCGCACTGAGTCTTAATACATTACTTTATTTCTATTAGATAGAAACACTATCCAATGATTTATTATGTTTGTGTTACACACACACCATTAACCTATACAACAATAGGGAGCCCTGGCTCAAGGACGGACAAAACAAGGACACCACACATGGTTCTTTTCCAATTACAGTATATTTATTTAAAGAGAGTAACTCAATTGTGACACAGGGCCTGCCACTAACTTAGCATTGGACTGAGAAACAGTTTTGTTGACAGTCGATGTGCACATCAGGCTACAATATAGAAAGAAATGTGGCTCATAATGTTCGCTCACTTACTTTCTGCTTCGTCATTCTATACCATACGGGGGGTTCTGAATAAATCAGTGATTTTAGCACATTTCACTGCCTTTTGTTGCAGGATGGGGGTCCATCACGTACGTTATTCACGCGCTTATCCACACGTACGTTATTCATGCGCATATCCACACGTACGTTATCAACACGCATATCTAAGATAGCACTTTCAAAGCTACGCCGCCGCCACGTGAGCGCGTACTTTGAGCGCACCTATGATACGTCGCCGTGACGTCTGACGTCTGACAACGTCGTGACGTCGCCTGTATTGTACGTCAACCCATTCAAAATTGATGGAGGCGTTGGCGCACGTTGACACGCCAGTTCTCCGCTCAGTGAGCTTAGTTATCTGTTCTTTGGCACAAATCACACCTCATAGACGATCGACACGATTGTCTGCTCAGTGAGTTCGTTCATTGGCACAAATCACACCTCATACTAATCACACCTCATATAAGGGTGCTCCGTGCAACCCGTCCGAACAGCTCCAACACCGCTCCTCTCTCTCCACTTTCTCTCACCTGTAAGCGTGTTTCCTCGTCTCTGTGAACCTGCTCCGGTTCTCCGGTGGCCGTCCTGCGGAGCTGACATCCGGGTACTCGAGACTCCTCTCCGCTTCACCTCCTGGTTCTTCACCTGCCCCGCCCACACCTGGGTTGCGGCCCCCCAGCTGGAGGTTTGACCAAGCCCCCACGAAGTGCGCCGGACTCTGTGCCCAATATTCGTTGTGTCCAAACGGCGGTACTGCAACTTCCGTATCAGTCCGTGACGTCAACCGGCCCAAAAATGCTTTTTCCCATTGACTAACATGGGGAAAGAGACGTCTGTAAATCGGTGGATACTTTTTAACTAAATAAACTACCCAGTATGAACTCTTTTACTAAAAGCCGAATCTAGATTTATTTTCTCTCTGCATTCATTCTAGTGAGCCGAGAGAGGGAGCTCGGGGGGCCGGGCTTAAGGGGCAACTCAACTGTGCATGTTTTTTTTTATTGAAACAATAGAGAGGCGAAGTCCCTCCCCTTCCGGGGACCTCCATGGGACCTTATTTCGGAAAAAGTATGTATTGAAGTCAATGGGGAGAGAAAACGTATCTTTGGATCCCGTTTGAATTGTGCCATGAATTACACATATGATGTTTGTCAATCTTAACAAATAATTTCCACGTCAAAAAAGTCACAGTTTGTCGTAAAACTGTTGAAATATAAGACTATGAAAAATACGCAACTAGAAAGACTACAAATCCCAGAGTCCCGGTCCCGCATGCTGGCTCTTAGGAACCGACTAACTCTCCTTGTGTGTATGCACAGCTCTCAACATGCCCAGACTTGGAGTGATTTTCAGCTCTTTCAATACTTTCCGCCTCATTCTGAAAGAAAGGAGTGAAATGTGCCAACGTGACGG